CTTAAGGCAATGAATTTCCTAACAGTCTTGATGAAACCCAAGGCACATGGATCAGGTTTGCTTTTTTTAATCTAACCTTAAAATTAAATAAAAAAGAAGCTCCAGGTTTTCATATAAAGTGAGAAAATTAAGTTCCAAAACCCAAACCAACACATTAACCAACACTGAGATATTAGTGGAAGCTAAAAAAAAAGCTTTTTTACAGAAATAGCCCAAGACAGGTTCTGCCTAATACTGATGTTCACTGGATTGCAGAAAAACTAACACATAATAAAAACATTTGATTTCTTGAGTCAGGTAAAGGCAGGCATGAAACTACTGAGTCACTTTGCATCATATGCTTGAGAAATAAATGAAACATGGATTTGCAAGTGCAGGTACTTGGTCAAACTAAACCAGCCTGAACTGTTCCTTTTGACTGTACAAGAATCAAACCTAAGGAGTACTGAAAAGTACTGTGGGTCACTCCATGTTCAGCGTGAGCAGCTGGAGAGACAGACACTACAGACACCACACACTTGCTGAGTGATTTAGCCAGAAACAGATGCTGTGATTTGTTCCTCTGCTGCCCCCCAGGATCAGACCAGAGCTGGACTCAGCCTTGTGGCTCAGCTCATCTTTTCCATGCTGCAGAGACCTCCTTTTTGTGGTCCTTTTCTGCTCTCTTGTGGGGAATCTCTGCACAACACTTGCACTGTAAGATTTGCATTCAGAGCCATCAGAAGGCAATTTTCAACCTCTTTGCCACTACTTATAAAAGCCTGACAAGCCACGACATTGATCTCTCAAGATACAAAATGCTGCTTTCCTACAGCAAGAGGCAGATGTCTATAAAAATGCTCTAAAACCTAGAATCAAGATATTTGTCTGGAAGTATTAGAAAAGCTCAGAACAATCCACCGCAGAACAAATTCACTTGAGTAGCTCCAAGCACACTCCTAGTCAGGCAAAAGGCACTTGTTTTGGCTGATTCAATAGTTACAGGACAAGAGGAGGAAATTATCCATTCCAGCCTTGTGTTTTAGAAAGATTCATGTCCCACAGGTTTATTTACCTCTTCTATCATGATGTCCATTGCAGCACAAAGTTCTCCTTTACTTGTTCCACTCTCCACCATGTTCCTTAGCCTCAGACAGTATTCTCTCATCTGTTTAAAGAGAAAGTCATTTTACTATAAGGATATGAAAGGTGTCACCTGATCAGTTTCAGGACTTCCCATCTGGTTGTTTCAAGCACATATTTTACTCTTTATAACATGTTTTCAAAAAGAAGACATCTCTTTCAGAAGGCTTTGTCAGAGATGAAATCTTTAAAAAATACCAAGTTAACTCAATGCTTTAGAAATAAAATATCACCAAAATCTATTAAAAAATTAACCAACAGTCACAACTCCATTCCTAATTCCCAACCACTGATGCGATGTTTGCAGCCATTAAAGCTCTTCAGGCTTCATTTCTCTCAGCCCCATAACAGATGCCACAACATCCACACACATCAGCACCTCTGTGACTCACACAGCTCAGTGTCTTCACACTGCAGCGTTCATTTTGCAATCCTAATGCATAATTGATCTCCTGCTTGATAAAAAGAAAGGAGCATTTCCCCACTGCATGCAGAGCTGCAGGAAGAGCAGCACACACTTCCCATTACTGTCACCATCCATAAGGCTGGGAACAGTGAGCACAGCTCCCTCCAGACCTGCTGCTTTGCCATGCTCAAGGCTAGAATAACATTAACCACATTTAATATGTCTAAGCTCATTTCAGCATAGATTTTGCATTTTTAATGTGGATTCCAGCAGGCAGTTTTCCCTCGACATGGAGCGTATGAACTGGAAAAAATAATCAGAGCCCACTGTGAAGAAAAAAATAAAATGCTTGCATTGTCTTTTGAATCCAATCACCCACACCAGCATCTTCACAGGTTAATTCACTGCTGTAGCTCAGGGAGTAAGTTAACACCTTCCCTCAGACACAGCTGTGCACTTTATGCTCAAAAGCTGATTTTTAAGCTGAAGTGTTTTGGAAATATGGTTTTTTCTCATCTTTTCCATCAAATTTGGCAGTCATCTCTAGAAACCTTGGCATGCTGGTAGCTGAAACACTGAGGGGGTGGAAAAAAGTCACCTAGACACCAAGTGCTAGTTTGGCAGAAACAGATTTAAGCAGCCACATGTCAAGAATCACATTTTTCAAAAAGCTGAGGATTAGGATTAAGTGCTAAAACCACATAGGTACTTCCAAGCTCCTGGAGCTTGGCAATGGACATCTTCCATGAACTCACCTTCCTGCTCCATGTTTCAAGATTTACATCATACTTTGCTGAGACTTGAGGCTTCTTGCAAATCAAAGCAAATTAAGTGACTGAGATGCACTTAACAATTGGGTCAATTAAGATAAGGTGGGACACTTTGGTCAATAAAGATAACACTCAGCTAGGAACACCTGGAGCAGGTTCATTCCCAACCCCTACCCTTAATTATATCACCTAAATCCATTTTACCTTATGATTCAAGATCTCATTCATCCTTCTAGTAGCCTCTGTGGTATGAGACTCTGGGAAGTATTTCTTGGGGACAACACCGTATTTTTCTAAAAGAAAGTAATGACACTATGGGTTCACAATTCTTTTCCACACAGCAGATGTTAATACTACTTCTTATACCCAGGTAAAAGCTAAATAGTTTGGGTTTGTGCAGAGATTGTAAGGGGAAGTCTTATTTAAAGGCTACAAGTACTCCAAGTTTACATTTTAGTTTGTGACTGAATCTTGACCTCTGGTCTGAACTCCACATGAGTCCCAAAAAGTGAAGTCCCTGAACTGCTCATTTAATTCAACACTTAAAAGTCCTAAAATAATTAGTGCTTTAAGAAGTTCTTTTCACCACGAAAAAGAAAAGATTACTTGACAAATAAGCTCCTGAAATACCTTCTAAATAACTCCTACAGAACAAGGCCTCCCATGAATCATGCCATGCAGTTTATCTAAGGATAACTGATTAACTTCCCAGGCTCCTTTCCTCCTCAGCCTTCAGAAAGCACCAGCTCAATTGCTTCCTGCATTACAGTCCCAAAGATCACACCACACAAGGCTCTGGATGTAACTGCAGCAGCCAAAATGTTCTCTGTCCTGCTTAGGTATTTATAACATCAGATGAGGAGAAAAGGAACCTTCAGGCTTCAAAGAAACAAATTCCTTTTGTGATTCTAAACTTGTATCATTGCCTTGTGGATTTACAAAGGTGTCACATTGTTTCACAAAACAAATGAAAGCAAATGCTGCTGTAATTATCTCTATCAGCACAGGATCCCATTTGTGCTGGAGCTTTGCACGACCAGCACTGCTACATTCCACACCAATTCCCTCTAACTGATAGTGTAACAACTTCAAGCTGCAACTCCAAGTAGTTTTGTCCCTGCCTTGTAAACACACCCAAGCCTAGCAACATGTTTTCCTAACCATGTGCCCTAAACATCGAGTGCATGGATATAAATAAGGTTGAGTTAACACTTGGAGTAAAACAGGATTGGAATTTTTCAGTAAATGGAAAGTCTGGGGTATCTATTTCTGTTGATCTTCTCTCATCAGCAGCAATATGCAAAAGTGAAGCCAGGCAAGATTTAAACCTAGTATTTATAATCTGCCATGAAAAAGGCCTTTGATTTCAAAAGGTAGTGGTTACTGGCATCATGTTCCTTAGCATATTTCCAGGTCTCAAACTCAATTTTCTCTACTATTCCATTCCCCATCTCCAAACCAGTGTGCAATTCCAGAAAGGGCTCCTAGCAACCAATTCTCTTACCAATAATGTTAACCAACATATCCCACTGTCCACCATCATTGGTGGGGTTGGAGAGCAGGAATTGTACCAGTCTTCCTTCCACAGGCTCCTTCTTCTGAGCTGTTTCCACAAAAGCATTTAAAAAGTAGTAACAACGCTCAACCTGAAACAAAGAAGGAAAAAAAAAACCCTGTGACATATGAAGCAGTAATTGATTGCTGAATATTCAGTTCTTTGGAGGTACAAAATAGATGAAGTTACTTCCTGCTCATCCACTCAAGTGGATCCCTCTAGCTGTCCTACCAACTTTTTTGTTACAGCTCAAACATTTAGGAGGGAGTTAGCACAAAACTAGAGGGTAAGGAAACAGGAAATGTGAAGCAGAAGTTATGCAATGTGGCCTGGCCCAAACCAGCACTAGATTTGCTTGATTTCCCTTAGGGGGAAGAACACAGAGCTCACCCATGAGGTCACAAGCAGTGAAACCTCAGAGTCAGGTTTCTCCTGAGCCTCCTGCAAGTTACCTCTGAAATATACAGAACACTTGAAAAAAACATGACTTTTACTATTCCAAAACATCAGCAACTTTCTTCTCAAGCTGAAGGTCCCACTTGGCCTGACCTGCATTTAAAGCATATACCTGAAGTACTTTTGAGGTTTCTTTTCCTGTATGTTTTCCAGTTGGAGTGTTAAAACACTCCAGCCTGAAGGAAGTTCTGTCCCAACACTAACAGCTGATTGCATAAGCCATCCCAGCACAACCTGCATGACTGTACCTTATCCCAGAAAAAGAGATAGGACTGGCTGAACTCAAACTCTTCGATGTTGTACTTCTTCATGAAAGGAAGACGCATTGCATTGAGGCAGGAAAAGATCCAGCACCTCCCTGAGAGATCAAAGGAACGGGAATTAAACTGGAACATCTGCACTCAGGAGCTGAGCAACAATTTTCACCATGAGATTCATGACACAGTTCTGCCTGGAGCCTTTGGCCAGGGCTGTGCAACACCAAAAGGCTCTGGAGAAGTTCTTGAGGTCATTACAGCAAGTACAAGTCTCAGTTCTGCTAGGCAGAAGGGAAAGGAAGCAAACACTCCAAGTCCCAAGTCTGTTATTAACACAGGATGATGCTACAGGGATTCAACTTTGCTCTGAAGCAAGGACAAAGTGCTCTGAAGCAGTCACCACTCCTGGGAGCACAGTGAGTGTCACCAGTGTGTCCCCAAGGGCCACCCCCAGCCTGACCTTCCCTTACCAGAGTTCTTCTGGTTGGTGACAGGTTTGCCCTCGGCGGGCACAGCGTGCTGGAACACCTGCACGGTGTCCTGCACCACCTGCCGCTGCAGACACACCTCCAGCGGGTCGTTGCATGTCGCCACGTTCTGGGCCAGCAGGAACTGCGGCTCAGCTCGCAGCCGCCGGGTGAAGGCCACAGCCTTCTCCGTGCTCA